CATGATAGAGTTGACTCTGTTTCACCGTCAAATGCGGAAAGAGGTAGGCTGCTACTAAAACAGCATCACACACTAGCCAACGTTCCAAGCCCTTCGGTATGAATATGGCACGTTCCACAAGATTCATCAGTTCGATGAAATCACTTTTAATGGTGCCAAGAACATTTAAACGCCAATCCTGGGAAGATTAAAATAAATATAAGTACATATATGTTTTACATAATAATTTAGTTGGTAATAATATTGAATTTAGCGTTTACAAGTGTAATATCAAAATCTCCATCGATGCACGTTTCCCACGGTAGAAGAGTCACAGGGGTGGGAACAGATGCTAAAACAATGTGTGCAGCTTCCGGATCCATCATAAAATTGAACTCGGCACTTTTGGTGATGTTGCCTTTGCCTGTAACCACAAAAGGATTTTTAAGTACGTATGGACAAATATTTAGTGAAGAACATATGTATGTATGTATGTATATATTTAGTACGTAAACCAAAATTAAATACACAATTATGTTTGATTGTTTTTTTTTTTTAATGAGAGGATTAAAATCCGTTTGAATATTTGCATGTAGGTAGGGTGGAAAATGGTACGGGGTTAAATGCTCTACAGAATTATATAAGTATATAAGTAAGTCCTGTATTGGATTTTTTTTATCAATTTTCTAGAAAATTTTATGGGAAAATTAAAAGAGTTAAAAAGGTGCTCGTACAGTTTTACCATGATGCAAAAATTTTAGAGGCAGCCTGAATATTTTTGAAATTTGCTAACATAACGAAAATGTTTTCAAGTTTTCAATCTCACCCATGCATTCTCACTTTCGGTCTCAAAACCCTATAAACATTCAGACTAATTTTAGAGTCAGAAAAGTCTCAGAATTCTGAGTTGTAACCCCCATCATGAGCTCAAAAAAGGGTCAGACAGAAAAGAGCATATTTCCCTTCTTAGAAGGGCACGCCATTATGAGTCCAGGCTTTCTGAGTCTTAAAAAAAATATTCTTTATAATTCCGATTATTAATAAACTTTTACTTCTAAATACGTGTGACTTTGATAGTTTTGTTCAACTCAGAATTTACCAAAGAGTCCGAAAGGAGTCAGTCCGGTTGACTGGTCTCACAATCATATTTATGACGAAAGAAAGACTCATAAATTGTGAGCACTCAGAAAATTGTTTAAAGAGATAAAGCGAAATTGAATATTTTCATCTATTTAATTTTTGTTTTACTTTTATTTGGCGTTTGAGTTGCTGTGAAAATTTCAATTTTGTAAAGTAGACAAAACTGCAAAAAATAAATCACGGCCGATGAATTTGACTATAGATCTCTGAAGACAAGAATTATGTTTGAAGTTGATTTGTGTATTCTTAAAATTAGATCCTTATACATACACATTAGGGCGGGTAAATTTTTTGACTACGCACGTATAGCATAGGAGAGCCCTACGTCTAATTCTAAACAAATTTGCCCATGGAGCTATGGGTCTAAAATCATTTTGGAGTTTGCCAAATTGCGAAATTAGTTTCGATAGAAATGTAAAAATGTTCACTGTTGCGTCCTCTGGTGGAAGTTTTAAGAAAAAAATAAGTCCAGAAATAGATTCCTCATACCAAAAAACCACTTGTAGCATGTTTTTATAAAAAATTTAAGCACTTTTCTACGACACTACAACAAAATGCTAAGAAAGATATTTTCGCAATTTGGCGAACTCCAAATTTATTTTAGACCCATGGGTTCTTCGGCATATTTGCTTAGCAATTACGCCTAGAATCCTTCTATCGAAAAAATCTCCCATACAAATTTCCTCGCCCTAATATACATACATACATAATTAATTGCTTACCCCTATAATTTCCACCCATAATGTAGATTTTTCCAATTTTATCCAAAAATGCTGAGCCATACATATTGATGCACGTCGCAAAATTGGTCAGCGGCCCCACCAATAAGAAATCCACCGTTTTCGGGTGCTAAAATGTTAAGAATTCAATAAATGTCTTGATCTGTAAATAAATACATACGAGTGTATGTAAAAGTATTCTTACCTTGCAAACAAAATCGTACATCGCAATTACCGCATGCTTTTCTCGCACTAAACTCAAATCCACTGGCTTCTCGTGTTCCACATTTCCAAAACCATCTTGTCCATGAAAATTTTCGGGATTTTTCCATTCATTTTTCATGATGGGACTACTGCAACCTTTATAGATTGCCAACTGAGAGCTTTTCTTTTAGAATTAGATTTTAATTACATTAAAATACATTTAAATACCTACATCATTTCTGTTGGCTGCTTTCAGTACTCGCAGCGTATTTATCAGAGTCTGATCGACACTTGTGTTTCCTTGTACGCATGTGATGCCGATAATTTCAAATTTTGCTGGTGAATCTGCTAATTCGGAACGATTTTTGTACACTGCTTCAGCTTTAATGAGCATCATCAGACCCCAGGCGTCATCATTGCCAACATCACAATCGTACACCACATATCTGCCCATATTTTAACTATAATGTAGAAGCTTGATTAAAAATAACTACATATGTACGTACGTATATTTCCACAGCAGTATGACAAAATCATGTAATAACTTAAGTCAAAGCTCTTTAACCAATATGTATTTAGTATATGTATTAAATGCAGTAAGTATATGTACATACATATATTTAAGTACCCAATATGAAAATAATTTAAGAATTAATATATCCTCCCCTTTTGCCAGAAGCATGAATGTAGAAATTTACCAATATTAAGTTATTGGGTTGACATGATTAACCTTTGGATGTTCTATGCTAGGGATGCCCAAATCAGCACATATGTGTCGCGGGCGACTGCGCGTGCAAAGCTTTGCACAGCAGTGCTGGGCAAGCGCGGAAGCAAAAAGTTATCGGAAGGGGAAAACGAAGTCAACAGAATTGTATTGCGACAGTGATGGAAAATGAGTGTGCATTGTGCCATTTTCGGCCCTTTCGGAAGCAGCCGGCACCTTCAGCACAATCGATTGATTTTCGGCACTATTTTTGCGTAACTCAATGCAACTAATAAATATTTCATTCGGATCCGCAATTAAAAATATTGTTTTTACATTAAATCGTATGTGCTTAAACTGATAAATGATATAAACATAGAAACGCAAGCAGAAGAATCTCGCTTAAACATTCTGCATATGCGCTTAACATTTTTGCTTAAACAAATTTGTCGAAATTTCATCTATAAAGCAAATATTAAATATCATTTAATATATAATTTAGATTTAAATAATCATTTTTAGTGGTGGGCGAGTCCGAGATGTTTAAATGATCGAGATAGTACATTCAATTCGCGTACATTTTTGAGAACTTTTTTCGTTGAAGGTGTTGCACTTTTTTTTCCATACTGAAATAAGAAGAATTTCACAAATAATTGCTATTTTACTAATAACTCTCTATGTATGTATGTATGTACGTACATATGTATGTATGTAGGTATTTTTGTTTATAAACTCTATAATTAAATCTTTAAAGATAACTTTTGTTTACTAAATAGTTTAGTCGCGAATAATCTTATCAGTCAACCATAATTTGTACTCTATATACGCGCATATGTATGTATGCGTGCGCACATGCCCGGTAGAAATAACCTTGTAATATCTCGCAATAGACTTAGAGTACGCGACAAACTAGACTGCTGGTGACGGTAAGTAGTCCAAAGTTTAATCCAAGCAGATGTAATATTCTATTCACATTAAACATTGAATGTAATAGGCGAGGTGTTAGTCTTTTAAACTATAATATTTTTTTTGAACACAACTCTAACTATGGTTAAAAGAACAAGCATGGCTTCTATAGCTATCACCTGTTTTTAACTGGCTAAGACCTCGCCACGAGATTTAATTTCACTATGTGGTACAGCCTTCCCCTAAAGAACAAGTGTTTAAATTATATATTCATATTTTATAATTTGAATATGAAAGCCAATTTTTGACGTAGAATACGTCTTACGTATCGATATGGAGGCTATGCTCAAATTTTGTAATTTTTAGAGCTTCACGAAAACGCTCATTGCACGAGAACTAATGAAGCGATTTCAAAGAAAAGTGTGGCGTTTCAAAGGAAAAGTTCCAAACCTACCGACAGATACATTTTTGTAAGTAACCAATTCGGTTTCTGTCGTAGAAACAACGGTAAATATTGGCTTATTTTGGGGTCAATTTTAAGCCTTTAAAGTGCTCTAGAAACTTATGATTTGCAGATATAACTTTCATTTTCGGGATATATGTATGTAGGTTCTTTAGAGCAATAGAAATGTTATCATGTACAAATTTTATATAAATTCAACAAAACTTGAGCATTGTATGCCAAAAAATTTATGAAAAAATGTGCAACTTTTTTTATTACCAAAATGCTCAAAGCCGCTCGAATGATTTTGTTTTTGTTTTCTTTAGTCAAAAATTCAAGTTTTGTCCTTTCATTTGGAATAAGGGAAGTATTGGTTGATATCTTCCAAGTATGTTTATGTTATTCAAATAAGTATATGGGCATAAATGATTTTCCAGACAAAATCACTTCGTAATTATTTTGCAAGCACATGCATGCGTTGGAAGTGAGTCCATTTTCGCTACTGGGTATATTTAGGAAGGTTGCCACGTGTTTCAAAAAACAGCTTTGACTTAAATAAAGGGAGAAAATCTCTTGATCTCTCACCACCGGGAGTGATGTTAAAAAATTTAGTCTCAAAATATATTTTAACTAATAGATACTAGTTTTATTTTTTTTTGTTGCGTAGTCGGTAAGAATATGGTATTGTATTCCTGGACTGTTTGAATAAATAAAATGAA